ATAGGGAATTCCCTTTAGAAAATACTAAAAGGTGACTGGGAAAACATTTCAGATTCTGAGCCAAACACATACCTAATTATCTGTCCTTCCTCCTCCGGAGTGGCAGGTCGCAGCCCCAAAACTATATGACACACCTGGAAAAAGGAAGGAATTCCTATGAACAGCCACATCACCAGGAACCAGAGCAGGAAATAAAAGCAAAACCAGCTCGAATTGGAGCAATACTAAAAGGTGACTGGGAAAACATTTCAGATTCTGAGCCAAACACATACCTAATTATCTGTCCTTCCTCCTCCGGAGTGGCAGGTCGCAGCCCCAAAACTATATGACACACCTGGAAAAAGGAAGGAATTCCTATGAACAGCCACATCACCAGGAACCAGAGCAGGAAATAAAAGCAAAACCAGCTCGAATTGGAGCAAGGTAACCTAAAATTGAACAAAGCACTAATGGAGTATTCTGAGCTATGAGACTCACAAGCTGTTCCTGCTGTTAAAGGCAAAGACACCAAGGATGGCAAATACCCCAAGACAAATATTAAGGTGGACAGAAAAGTAATTTTCATTATTTTCAGGTCTGTGAAAGATCACAGAACTGTCAGGGAGCAGATAGACAACAAGTTAAGATGTCTCTATGCACAGACAGGGAATGGGGGGAATGACAGATGTTGGAAGAGGATAAAGTAAAGGTGAAAAGCAAATGGAAAGAGGAAAAATTGGGAAGAAGTGGTTCTAATTGGGGCTGAAGGGGAAACAAGCACATGGAGAGACTGAGGGAGAAGTCCAAAGCAGGTTAACCAGGCACCACCAGAAACACTCTCAAGATTGTAAACCACTATTTTTCTTTCTCCTTTTTGGCTTCTTTTGACCCAGAAGCAGAAGAACAAAGCACCCAGCCCAGCTGCCTGCTCTGGGTGAGGTTTTATTCCCTGTATGAGACAGTCCCAGATGGCCAATATTTTACACCTCCCTCCCAGCAGAGCCACCCTGGCCCTGTCTGGCTGGGCCCCAGCCGCTCCCCAGGCACAGGCAGAGTGAGGAGCAGAGGGAACACTCAGCAGGAGCCTCTGGTTCCTTTGCAGGGAGCAGGGTCAGCTGTCTCCTCATCCCATGATTTATCCTCTTCTCCTTCTGTCTCTTTGGAGGCTATCAATTTGCATCTCAGCTGGAGATTTCTACTGACTGCTAAGATATCTTATTTAAATTTATATTGCAGGGAGAGAGAACATTTCATGTGCTGAGTGAAACAAAGGCCACGAGCTGTGGGGGGAAGCAGCAGATTTCCCAGCACACACCCCACAGCTGGCTCTGGGGGCCCTTTTCAAACCATGGAACACTGTGCTAGCACGAGATTCTTCAGACAAACTAACTCTGCTTCGATCAAACCCCGTTGTTGACAAGCTTTCCAGGCACTCCACTCAGAGCATTTGACTTTTCTGTCTGCAGAAGAGACACAACAGCTCCAATAAATGTCCAGGCAAATCGATGGCAAGTGCAGAGGCTGCAGCAGGGGCTGAGGTTGCCTCACATGGCAAAGTTATCAGAGGAAATAAAAACAGACATTAAAGTCTAAAATGAAAATATAGCAACTCTGCCAGGAGAAAAAAAATATTGTCCACGAGACTTGCAATGAGCAATGTGTAACACTGCTGATGTGCAATGAGCACTGAGACAGATTTATTACAAGTTCAATCATTCTTGGTCAATATTGCACAGGTATTTGTTAGGTCAGCAATATTTAGTGATGATAGGATTTATTTGATGCTAGACAGCCCAAAAATAAAGCCAGCCCTTTCCTGAGAAGGTTGCAACATAAGCAAACCTGAGGCAATTAGAGACAAAAAGAACTTGAAATTTTGGATGCCACTTTTCCAGCTGTGGTATAGCTGGAGGACTTGGAATACTCTCAGCTGCCCTAAAGCTCCTGACAAGTGTCATTCAAATGCAATTTATGAAGTCATTTAGGGTCACAAACAGGAGAATGAGCAGTTTGTAGTCAAGTACCTTTTCACAACCATTACTTATTTGTAATATTATCTACTCATTATATTACTTATAAAGAAACCCACAAAGTTTCTCTCTGATTAAACATTTTTCTGCTACAATCTGACCCTAGAACTGATGAAACTTCACTGGGAAGATGAGAACAGAACCCACTGGGGCCCCTTAGCCTTTCTTAGAAGAACTGTCACTGTCATATGGGGCTGGAGGTGAATCCTAAATTAGCACTATTATTATTTAAACTCCAAGTATCAGTCTCTACAGAAAACAGGTAAGGAACAAACTGCAGTGAATAAAAATACTCTTCAAGGGTTATTTTCTGCCCAGAGTGAGCCAGAGCTAAAATCTGGCTTTTAAGGATTTTAAAAATCCAATTCAAGCTCAATTAAAACCTAATTCAGAGCATACTTAATCCTCAGCCTCTGCACCAGAACAGTGATAGGATATCACAGCTTCAAGGGCTGCTTCATTAGGAAGCAATGAGAGAAACCTTCGAGGGCCCCAGCACAAAGTGGAAAGGGAAACTGGTTGTAAAAT